TCTGCGACAGACATGGCTACAACATTGCTTATTATAGTCACAACTCCCTCTTGTGGCCACCTGAATACACAGTTAGATCCTTACTACTCTATGCTTGCTACTCACTCCACAAATCCTATAGTTCAAGTAAAACCCTGCCACCTTACCAACCTTTCAGCGCCTTCAAAAAAGAACAGAAACCATTGTGTTTTCATCTCCGCGTCTCCCTGGTCTGCTGGGGGGAAGCAGCTAGTGCGGGGTTGCCTCACCCCGTTTGTAAGTAGGGATCCGATGTAAGTCGGATCCATGTAACCCGGGGACTGCCTGTATTGTCCACCCCCCCACACCCCGCCCTCTCTCTGCATCTGGTGATGCTGCAAACCAGGCTAGTCCTCTGGTGTCTCTTTCTGCTTTCACCCAGGCTGGAACCTGGCCATGCTGCAAGGAAGACAGGCTAAAATGCATTTGAGTGCTGAAAGCCCACTAACACCTTCCAGCTATCTCTCTGCGTACCCCAAAGGACAAACAAGTTGTCCCACAATTCACCGTGAAAGAATAATATTAATTCCTGTAGCAAGAAGAACTCTGGGTTATGCCCACCTAACAAAGCATGTCTCCCTTTCAATGGGAGAAGTTCTCCTTTACTTCCTCTCTTAATTAGTGCCGTGGGTGCAGAATGACTGTCGTGCTTCACCCCAGAAACAACTGCATTTCAGCAGCTGAGGAATGGTTACTGTTCACAGCAATACTCTATTTTAATCAGCCATTCAAAACACCGATATACATTTCTTGTCAAGGAGAGGTGGGTTGTCCAAGGAGAGGTAAATTCAGGGTTGATAATATAGCATGGGTGAATTTGGGGGTATTTGAAAGAGATGACTTAAATCAGGTTTGGCCTTTGTCCATAGCGTGCTGTTGGATCCCCATGACCAAAGCCACAGTGGGGTCAAATCTGGACATTTTCACTCAAAACTCAGGTGAAACTCTCATTTAAAATCACTAGACATTTTGTCTGAGAGAGGACTATTGATTTGGCTGCTCAGGAACATAAGGGGTTACTAGTAATAACCATCTGACATTTCTGCACCTCCGTTCCTTCTTCAGAATCCAAGGGCGATTTGCCAACTCCATGAATGTCAGTAGGAGCAGCAGCAATAGACTTTCCTCTGGGGCAGGAAGCGGTATGGCTCATGGAATGCCTTGAGAAGGCAGCGACTGGTTTTGTAGGGAACTGAGCGTGTCTGAGCGACAGCAGACGGGAATGGCTGCGTGCTGCCGGGAATGTGATTAAAAACCTGGAAAAGCTGAAGCCAGCGTGTTCCCAGAGGCACTCTAAAGCAAGGGATATGCCCGAGCAAGAAACACAAGACCCCTGACTCAGACTGTCTGGCCAGCTTGAGGACAAAGCTCAAGAAAAGACGGTGTGGGGTAGAATTCTGATCAGCTGAGGCTTGTTTAGAAAGGTTGTTTTAGCAACCCTGACACCCCTGGACGGGGGTAAGGGTCCCAATAGCCCAGCTGTTCCAGACTCCAGGTAACGCTAGACTCCAATGGGATGCAACCTTCACCTGCTGGCATCTATCTGAGATGTTGATCTCTTCATTAACCAGAGCTGAAGCCAGACACTTTTCAGTCAGGGTAGGCCTGTAAGAATTGAATGTAGACACATGCCCATAGTTAGGGGAGCTATGAAGAGACTGTCCTAGAGGGAATGAGCTAAACATCAACCTTCCCTGACTTTGGACTCTACGTTTAGAACCAGGAGCAGCTATATTCTTCCTAGGGAGTTGAACTGAGTTCCAGGTTCTCTGTCAGCTGAATCCTTTAAAAGAGAAGTTACTGCAGCCTGTCCATGGAAGCTAATGTACCCCTGGCACCAGCTACCCTGCTATATTTATGCTGAGTGTTAGATGCATGGAAATGCCACAGGGAGGCCTGGGAGGGGACACATACCCCTTAGCTCCTCTCCTATGCATCTAGCCATATTTGTTGGGTGCTTGTGTAGCTCACCCACCTAGTGGGTGTGGCTCACTGTCCCATGTAGTGGCACTTAGACCACTTACAGCGAGAGATGAGAATGAGCGGGCTCTACAGCCTAAGCTAAGCAGCATCTGGCTTTACAGCTCAAACTGTAGCAGCTCCTCCACTAAGCTCCAGATGTCCCAAGTTCAGGTCTGCGTGCAGGCGGTCACACTTGCATGTATAACCCAGTTGAGAGCTTGTGTTACAAGTTTCCAGCTGTGTCTGAGCTACAGAGGATGGGTTTTACAGCTGCATCTATGGAGGTGCTTGGTTTAGTGCCCAATATGGCAGCTACCACATGAGCATTTGTTCTCCTCTGTGCCATGCAACTGAGGGAAAAGTGGGATCCTTAGGCTACAAGCGTCCAATTGGTAGAGCGTGTAACATGAGGAGGAAGCCATTGTGTGAGTGTAGAGCATTGTTGTCACTATCCGAGGTAGCAAATACTGCTAGGTCCTGTGCACAGCCTCCGTTACAAGAGAGTCGTTTCTTCATTCACAGAATGTGCTGCACTTAGGAAACAAATCTCTCCAGCTGGCATTACCGACAAGAGAGGTAAATGGGTACTTGGCCTGTCACTTAGTCCCAGCCAAGCCCATATATCAGTCCAGGCCGGAGCTGGGCTCAAACGGACCTTTTCTTAGCCTGGGCACATTTTCCATCAAAATGTTTCTTTGCATTGAAGAATGAGGTTTCCAACTAAATATTTTCATGGAAACTGTCTGCTTCCCTCAAATTTTCAATTGAACCCCTCCTCCCAAAATTAACATCCAAAGGGGTGTGGATTGGCCAAAAAAATAGAGTCCGTTTTTTGGATTAAAAAAATAAAAATTTCTGTTGAAAGTTACCAAAGAAAATCCCCATTTGTGTCAGAATTGTCCATAAAAGGGGGAAAAAGTCCATTTTCCAGCAGCTCCAGTGCCAGGTGTGGTTGGCCCGGGGGGCAGAGTCCCACCAAACAAGATCCCCTTTGGCTGGAGCTGCTCGCATTGTGGGGACAAGCTGCTACAACTAGCTTTGACATTGGGGCTTAGCATGCATGCCTCTTGCCTGCAACTCAGCACTGGGTGCTCACCGTGGGCCTCCTGCTATGAAGGGAAACCCCCCGGGTTTTGTGTTGAGATGAGTTTAGGAGGCCAATGAAAGCTACTTCCTGCCTCTGTCATTTTAGAATCCCTGTCTGACACACCCTGGCTTCAGCAAAGCAGATACTAGACCAGTAACCACATCCTTGCTACCGAGGTAAAGGCTCACTCTTTGGTTGAAGAAAGAGACACAGGCAATGTCACAAAAGGCCTGGTTTTTATTAAGTCTTTGCAAGGTCTTGAGGGGATGGGAATGGGGATTTCCAGCATACACAATGTCCATGGACTAGCAACATCCAACCAGGGTGTGGGGACAGAGCTGAATTCCCAAATCTGGTTGCGAAGATTTTTGGCAAAAATCTGACCAGTCTTGGTGACATTGTTTTCCAGGGGTATCTTCAACCCACTTGCCCCCACCCCCCAGCATTCTGGAATTAGTACAATCAGTGAGCACTTTGTGAAGAGACAAAACAACCTGGTAAAAGCAACTAGAAAGTTAAATGTGTTCCAGGTTCCTTTCCGTTGCAGCTTTGGCGTGGCGTGAAAGATCTGGTCTTTGTAGCGGAGGCACAATCGCATACTGTAGCTCAGAGAAAGCTGCCCAGGCAGCGACGATTGATTATGCTGGCCAGTATTGTTTCATTGTTTATTTGTGCTCCCCTATGTATGTATATACTCCCTCTGTTGTCCTGTTGTCCTGCTACCCCTCTGAACAGATACTCCCTCTGTTATCCTGTGCCTTGTAATTTGATGGTAAGCTACTTGGAGCAGGCACTATTGCTTAGTTCTGTGTGCGTACAAGTGTCTGGCACAAGGGGGTCCTTATCCAGGTTGGGGTTCTCAGCTGCTACAGAAATACAAATAATAAATAGTAATAATAACAGTAGAATCTACTTGCAAAATTATTAGGGCAAATACTTCTTGATTTCAAAGGGACTTAAGCAAATGTTTTAAGTAAACCACGTCCTTAAGGACTGAAAAGGCTTATTCGCCTTTGCTAAGTGCTTTGAGATCTGTAGCTGGAAAAGCACTGGCTCTTTAGCTTGTACTAGAACAACTCATGCTTTTAGCTCTGAAGGTGCCTGTTCGGCTGTCAGCCGAGATGACAGCCATTGCACATGCTCAGCTAACGGAGCTACACGAAGAGCATGCAGAAGTGCTTTGTATGAGGCAGGAATCAGCCACAGTCTCTCTTTGACGGGTATACAGCATTTGCAAGGCATGGAAATGCAAGGAAATTGATGGTCAGCATCTCTGGGTCAAAATTTTGAATTTCAGAGGGTGGGGGAGAGGAAAATAATATCCTGGTTTTCAAGTGATTTAGGAATACCATAAGCCCTACCTCTCCCACATAATAGACACATCATCCTAGATAAATGGGAAGTAACTCCTGTTTCATCCCACCATAGTCACCTCAGTGAAGGCTACTACTTCACCAGTGATCTCAAAATAGAAACACTGCACAGAACGGTTGCCTGAAAATTATCCAGACTTTTAAATGCCACATTGAAGACAATCTGCCGTGTAGGTGCTGGGTGGTTATTTTGGGAGGGAATCAGCTGGAGGCAGGTAACCGGGGATCTGCTTGAAAGCAGGGAGGTAAAAGATTTTCAGAGACAATTTGCAGCCAGCAGCGAAGATACTACTGTACCAGCGCCCTCAATTAACTGTACCTACCTAACCTCAGCTCCTGCCCTGCTCAGACGCAGAGTAACCAGAAAAAGAACCCACCAGTTTTGCATAATGGGTGATGGACTCCAAAGAATTGGATTCAATCTTCGATGCTGGCAGATGTCATTTTCAGCCCGGGCTTGGCAGCTGTGGGCTCTTGCAGCTGCCGGCCAACTCAAAGAGAGAATGTAAGCAGAGTCGCTGATTTAGTCATGACGTGGGGCTCTTGTTTCTTCTCTTCAGGAGGCCCTTTCGGTGGTGAGTGACGATCAGTCCCTCTTCGATTCCACGTACGGCGCTGCCGCTCACCTCCCCAAGGCGGACATGACAGCCTCAGGGAACCCTGACTATGGGCAGCCGCACAAAATCAACCCTTTACCTCCCCAGCAGGAGTGGATCAATCAGCCCGTCCGGGTCAATGTCAAGAGGGAATATGATCACATGAACGGATCCAGGTAAGGAAGGGCATGTGTCTCCCACTGGTATGTTCCTATGTCAAGGACACTGTGCTCACAAAACTGAGCCACTGTATGTCATGCATATACCTGTGTACATACAAACCTGTCCCTTCCCTTAGGGGCAGATGCCGCTCCCACTGGAATGAAGGGGACTTTTGTCATGGCCTTGAATGGGGTCAGGACTTGGATCTTGCAGTTTTGCAACTTGCCTCTCCATGCCATTGTCAGGTGTGGGATCTGAGGTCTGCAAGGACAGTCCTGATGCTGCGGACACTGATGTAGACAGCACACTTCCCCACCAAATCGGGAGCCCCACCAAGGGGCTACAGGGCACCCAACACTTGTTTGTTCAATAGGAGGTTGGTAGAGGATCCGGCCCAGCTAGTGGATGCTGTGGTGCTGGAGACAGTGTTGGCAATACAGTAGGTAGTGCTTTCCACTCTGTCTTATTCAATGTCTCAAAGGGTCATGTTGTGATTGTAGGTACCATCCTTCAGATCAAATGTAAAACTGAGGCTCTGGTCACGTGCGACTTTCCCCCAGGCTACAATAGAGTAAAAGCCATCAGTCCCCTGTCCCAGGGAGTATCCCAACATTTAGATCCACCCATGAAAAAAGAGCAATTCTTGTGCCTCATGACATTAATGATCAAGAAGTCACAGGAACAAAGTGTAGACAATGGAACCCCTTCTAAAGCCGGGGGTGGCTATTGAGCTGTGTGACTAACAGCTACATGTACCCCTCCACCATGAGCATTCACCAGCCAGTCCAGTTCGTGCTTTTCCCATCCCAGGAGAATTTTAGAGAGATTTTGCTTTTTTCCCCCGCCTGCCCGAAATTGGGACCAAATGCTGAAATCTTCACAAAGTTTGCAAACTGAAAATCTGAGGGGGAACAATTAAATTGCATCAACCAATGGTTTCCATTTCAGTTTAAAATCTGCCTCCATCTCCTGCTCCCTCTCCCTCCCTCCCCCTGCCCCCCCCTC